TGCTTTATTTTATTTTTTTTAACATGACGTGCCTTTCTATTAAACAAAATACATGTACTCATTCCAGCTTCGCACACGTTGCACCGTGCCTACTAGCAGTACACATGAAAACCCATCCACCCCTGGGGTGAGATCATCAGGCCCGTCCCATCTCCCTTCAACACCCTCTGTCGCCTCACCAGAAATGACTGATCCAGACTTTAACTGTAGATGTGGTGTTGCTGTACAGTAATCTCCGTACTTCCGCAACCTGCATTGTATCGGTTAGTGCCAACCGTATGCTCAGTGCCGGTGAATCACCTCCAGACTGCAAGAATCCTGGGCTTCATTGATTCAGTGACTGAACTGGGCACTGAACTGTGTGAACTGCACATTATTGTAGGGGCTTGTTCTGGTTTCTACACCTCGACACGATTTTTGGATTTAAACTGAAAGGAGTTTTTTGCGCCGTAGGTCACTTGAATAAAGGGTGGCTATGGGAGAAGAAAATTGATATTAAAAATGCGGTTCTTCTTTCGAGGCACCTCTGGCGCAGGGGCACAACGGAGCCAGTTACAGTTACGCCTGGGAGCCTGACGTGACTGTGTGACTTTGTGAACGTGGGCAGAGAAGCCGGGGATTAGGAGAGGTGGAGCCTGGGGTGACTGTCCTTAAGCACCATATGCTGAGCAGCCGCCCCAGAATGAAAAGTCACGACCCGCCATTCAATCCAAAACCCATCTAAGAGAACGTCAGAGCAGATGTCCAAGAGATCCTGTTACAAGCACTGGAGCGCAATGTCTGCCCTGATCCAGCGCTCTGAAATAAGAATGCGTGGGAAACAAAAAGAATCTTGTAGATTTCACCACAAACCCTCTCAAGGACAAAAACCTCCTGAAACTCTATTGTCAGCAGTTTGAAGTCTGTTTACACCACTCTCCAAACAACATATCCAGACCTCTCAGTGTGCAGCAACACATTCAAGGCTATCTCTATGAAATTCGTTAGATGAAAAAGAACTGCAGTCACAAGGCCAAAAAAATGTTGTCCTGACTCCTTACTTTTGTCACATCGATGGAAGCAGGCCAGGAACGTGTTTTATGTTGTTTAATCACCACTGATGCACTTTCAAGCTCATCAGCAAATTAGATGGCGGCTATAAACTAAAACGACTTTAAACCCAGTTTCATACTGGCCCATTAGGAGATTAATGCAGCAGCTTTTTTTCTGGCTTGATAGGCTTTATAGCACAGTCTAATTCATACACATGTACTCATTCAAGTAAAGAAGAAATGACATGACATTTGCCTGTGCAGGCCTGGTGTGAGCTACCTCAGAGAGTGGCCAAGAACGGGCTTTTACATTAAACACCAAGAGACGGTCAAGCCCTAGTCTCATCTGCTTCCGTCACTATGGATAAGCAGCACATGACAGGGCTATTTCATCCTCTGCAGGTAACAAGCAGCTAATCCTCATTTTATTATCCCTCTCTCCAGCTCTTGCAGCTGCTCTCTGGCTCCTCTCTGTTTAAAAAGGGGGAGGGGGGGGGCGTCCCGACAACCGCAGCAAAGCGCTCTAATTGCAATCCCATCTTTCCTCCTAATTACGGTTCGGCCAACCTGCCGAATTCAGTCAAACTCACGAATGCTGCAACCGCAAGCGCAAGGACAGTGCCAACACGGAGCTGAAGGAGGTCTTTCTTTACGGCGGGATTCAGCGCAGAAACAAAGAAGGAAAACTGATCTTTCGGACTCGATGAACAGCTGGCAGGCGACTGGAGGTCATGGCAAACGGCACACCCCTCTGACGCCCCACGTCAGGCGAAACGCTTGGCACTACCTCTGCCTTTTAACCCTGGCCCCTGCATGACACAGCTGCTGAGGTTCTACAGTACAGCCCCGGAGATCTAAACGGCAGAGGACAGCGAATTATGCAAGATTCACGACACCAGTGGTGGATGAGACCTGCTTATAAGGAAATTGGCACCACAGCCTAATCACTGCGAAAACTAACAATAATGACACAGCAAGAAACTTCCCCATGAGAAGGCTGCTCCCTTTAGCATTTTTAATTCTGAGACACTGTTCATTTCAGACTTTCCCCTTTTCTGCGACTGCTTATGAATTGAGCTTGGGGTCTAACGTCTTTTGCAGTTTTTTCCCCCCATCAATATGAAATCTAAGGCAGGCTTTTCTTGAACTTCAAAAAAATCTGATTTAGAAAGGAAATTACTCTTCCCCTGTTAAAATGACTAATTAACCATAACGAAGCTGCCGCCTCAAGGGGAAAACTGCTAATGAATTGGTCATGCCAGAAATAATATAATTAAAACTAGTTAAAATATAAAAAAACACCATTAGTCTACCAATGTGACCCAATTATCAGTATGGCTGAGCCACTGTACAAGACTGTGGTTGCAGCACACAAGTGAAATCATTTTTAAATGGATTGCACCTGAGAGGCAGAATTTAATTTAAGGAGGACTCTATTCTCTTGTCTAATAGTTCCCCTGTGGAACACTTCCCCTCAAAACTGTCCAAATTCCAGCTGTTTCAACAAGGAGCATAACCTTTACAGCTCCGTTTGTCAATTGAAATTCCTCACATTTTAATTACGGGTAGGTTTCTTCCCAATGTGTTTCACGCTACTGTTGCTTACTACCTGCAAAGGATGAAACAGCCTGAATGAGTAAGACACAATAAAGACACTGAATTCACCGACAGGCACTGCACAAAGACTTGAGCTGCCTGTGAGCTGCACCCCTTTCAAGGGGTGTGGATTTCAGGAAGATGCATTCAGCAATACCTCTACACAGCAGAGAGCTTTCAGGTATCAACACACGAGTCACAGAAACTCCTTTTCGCGATTATCTACGGCTCACACAAAGAACTCTTAATCTCTCTCCCACAATTGCAGAAGCATTAAAAAGGGCTGCCTCCAGGTATGAATTCTGACGAACAGGGTTCTGAATCCACAGAAGTTCCCCATATCGAGAGCCTCTGGCAGGTTTCATTTCTTCAATCTTGCTGGTAACTGGAGGCACGGCCACATCTTGATACAAAAGCCTGACTTTCCTCCTGCCACTTCAATCGGCTCTTTAAGGCTCAGATTAGTTCAATAGTGCAGTAAATCACCTGGACTCAGTCCTGCCTCCTTCTTACTACGGTTTTATTTCTGCCACTGGCCTTGCAGTGCTATACCACAAAACTGGTTGCGTTTTCCTAACTAAGAAGTATGAGCTTTAGTGAAAGTGCATATTGAACGTGTTTGGAATGGATATTCTTAGGATATATGAATGACATAGGGAACTTGTTATACCAGTGTGCTTATTTTACGATTCAGAGCCAAGAATGAAAGTTCTCTGTATTGTCGGACATCTCAGCTCATTGTACAAAATCTTTCCGGGATTCAAGCACGGGGAATGGGATTTGTGTCTAACGTTCTTTGAAGGTGCAGAATCTGGAAATTATGTTATTGGGATAACGACGAAGAAACTGTATTCCACCAGATTACTGCCGTCACTGGAGAAAAAACAAGCTGTTACCTTGCATACCTATAAAAATAATTATTATTTACTTCCTTAAAGAAGCCCAGACCATCAGAAATCACACACTGCAGCTAGGACTGTGACAGGTGTGCACTGGAATCTGCTGATTGGGGAATTTTATTTTCTGTGTTTTGATACCACACAATTTGTGAAGGAATCGCAGACTTTCTTTCAAAGGTTACTGAGTGCCATACACATCGTAAACAGCAATATTTTATGAGGATTTGAGCACAACTAAGGCTGAAGACTGTACATCCTTTGCTGAATTTGCAATTTCTCTGGCAGAGTTATTTCAATTGAAATCCAGCAGACACTTTCAGCAACAGGGTGAAAGCTGTGGTTTCCTTCACAGGCAGTTTTACATCCTATTAGGATGCTGTACTGGGTCTGCATGTTCAAACGAACTCCTATTCATGTGCTGGCTTCTTCTGTAGCACAAATGCTCGGCCACAATGTGATGCTCTTGTGTTAGACGTAGTGTGTGTAGTACTCAACCACAAACCAGACTCTAAACCTGCACAATGTAGCCCAAGTAAACAGTTACTCTCTGAACACCTTACCTTGAACACTTCTGAACCACCGTAAGAAAACTCTCGCTGTTGTACTTCCTGTGGAACTGAACTCCCAAACAGGGAAGACAGTGCTGTGAACAAGCCTGGCATGAGGGTTTTTGTGGGAGATAAGGTTATAAACTGCACCGCTGCCCTTAACTCAGCCTGCAGCCCTTCCGAGTGAAGCCCATTGCAGAAAATCACCAACTTAACTGCAGAGATGGTTGGAGCAGTATTCTGCACAGGACCACACTGGAGGGCCCACAGGCGAACTCGCCCTGCCTACCAAAGCCTCCAGTCGCCAGTAGCCTTTATCATGGCTCTGATATGACAGCGTCCCTCTCGCTTCTTCCTTCGAAAAGGGGCGAAGGTCTAACGACACTTCTGATCTCTTATCTGCTAAGGGAAGCCCCACTCGCAGTTGACGCAACTTCCTCCGGTTTCCAAGTGGCTTTTACGAGATGTTTCGGGAAAACGGTTATTCAAAACCCGCAACACCCGCTGTCCAGGTGGGATCCGATCGAGCACAGGCTAACCCCTCACTGAGTTTAATTTCGGAAAGACTTCACCGCCACGCCGACAGGGTTGTGCCATCTCTTATTAAACACGAAACTCATCCCTGCACAGTATCGGTTTGCTGTGCGTTCACTCCGAGAGCACACATGATTCATTAAGCACGACGAGGCATCTCACAGAGAGCCTCAACTCTTCCAGCAGGCCTACGTCACTACTATCCACAATAAGACAACACCAACGTGAGCTTTTCCCGCTGCCTCTCTAAAAAGTGCGCAGCTCGACTCCAGCAACTTTTTTTATAAGTCATACAAGAAACGCTACACATACTGCACTGTGGGGACAAACCCAAAGTTATAACTCGACAAAGCACTCGCCTCCACAGGTATCTACAGGGGCGCAGTTCTCACCTACGGAGGAGTCGTCGTGGTCGGAACTGGGGTACCCATCGCTCCTCCTGTCGGGGGTGCTGTACCCCGAGCCCCGGGGAGACCTGAACGGGACCTGCAGCCCCCCGGGCGACAGCCTGCCGTCGTCGCTGGAGTCCAAATCCCTGCTGTGGCGCAACGCCTTCAGGGCATCCCCCAGCGGGCCGGCCGGGTGGGCAGCGGGGGCCAGCAGGTGGCCCCTGACGAAGGTGTCGTTCAGCTCCACGTCCTCGTAGTCGTGGTCGCTCAGGTCGGCGGCGGCGGCTGGGGCGTCCGGGCCGGCGTGGGGCGCCGCCGCGCAGCCCCCGTCCGCCTCGGAGTGGCCGGACACCGAGGAGGAGCCGCTCTCGAAGGAGTCCTTCTTGCGGGGCAAGACCGGGGGGGGGGAGCCGAGCCTGTCCGCCCTGGCCGGCCTGTTGCTCCCGGGCAAGTGGCGCTCCCCGGCTCTGGGCGCGTCCTGCCCGCGGTGCTGGCCGGGCTTGCCCGCTATGTCTTTCTTCCTGCGGGCTACGCTCTCGCTGTGCCCCGGCGGCTCCTTCGGCTCCCCGCTCCCGGCCGCCGCCGCCTCCGCCGCCGCGTCCAACTTCTCTCCCCCGCTGCTGCCGGACTCCCACCTCTCCCGGTCGTAGCTCTTCCGCTGGCGGGCGATGGTCGCCTGGAGGTAAATCACTTTGAATTTCTCCTCCGACAGCTGCTGCTGGAGGGCTCGGAGGTGGGCTTTGCACGTCTCCAGCTCCCTCTCGATGTCTTCGACGGAGCCGAGCTCCATCTTCGGAACCTGCCCCTCGGGGAATTCATTCTTCCAGTGCCTCTCAAATTCCTCGGGGTCCCACATGGCCGCAAAACCAGGTAAAAACAAGGTACGCCCGCCCCAGTCGGTACCTGTTGAAGAACACGGCGCTCAAGTGCGAGAGGCACGGACCAAGCAAGCCTTTATTATTTTTTTTTAAAGAGGGAAAAAAAAAACCCAAATTGCTCCTTAATAGACCATTTTGTTTCCCTGCACTCTGCATGCAAATCTCCCCCCCCCCAGATCACACAGCGCTCAGTTTTACCACACATGCGAGAGAGTGGGGGAAAAAAAAAAACTTTCGGCTTCCGGTTTTCTGAGGGCTGGTGACGCGGGGTCGAAGAAATCCAATTAGACAGTTAGTAGCTCTTCGTGTCAAAGTGTTTCGGGGCGTAAACAGCGGCTGCACAGAGCTGGCTGTGTACCTGACTCCAGCGAGCGCTGGCCCGGTTGGAGGAAACGGCTCTCCCCGCTCACCGGTTGCGGGGCGCCCCCTGCCGGCGCACATGTGCTCAGACGTTTCCATTAAACTCTCGGGAGTTGGCGGGCGGGAAAAAAATAAAAAAAGAGATAAAAATAAAAATATAATAAAAATAATAAAAAAGATATTATGTTAAGTTTCAGCCCCAGTAAAAAAAAAAACCATATAAAAATTTCTTTTGTAATAAATTTAATTATTATATTGGCACGTTATCACATACATAAAATGAAGTGGTCTGGGGGGTACCCTGGGTTTGAGCATTTTAAAATGGAAGTAAAGGGGTATTTGCAGACTATTTCGAGATGCAAAAAAATATGAAAGCGGTGCGGACATTATTTTTATTTAATTTGTTTAATCTTTTTTCATCACTTGAATTGAGGTAGTAGTATGTACCCCTGACGATATTTTTGTTTGGAATTGTTACAGTATGTGTACTCTTGTTTGTATTGTAATGTTTGTTCTTTTGTTAAGCATAAATATTTATTTTTTTTAAAAAAAGGAGCACCGCGCCATGTTTAACGAATGAGTGTAACTTCAGGGCAGTCCTGTGGCTGGGGCCCCGGTTTCAGGTCCTGGGGTGCTATCTGTGTGGAGTTTGTATGTTCTCCCCCGCGTTCCTCCAGGTGCTCCGGTTTCCTCCCACAGTCCAAACACGTATCTGTGGGTTTAATTGGCTTCTGGGTAAAGTGGACCTAGGGGTGTGCGTGTGCGTGTATACTGTATCTGTGTTGGAGTCTGTGTGTGCCCAGTCCAGGGTGTCACCTGTCTTCCTCCCATTGCTTGCTGGGATAAACTCCAGCTCCCCTGCAACCCTGTACTGGATGAAGCAGTTAGGAAACGGTTGGATTGATGGAACTTGAATTGAAAATATTTCATTACAAATTAAGTGACTTTAATTTTTTTTAAAAAACACTCTGTACAATAACATACGGTGTACAGTTCCAGAAGGCACCTGCTCATAGCTGGTTTTCCATTTGTCTGTACGACGTACAGAAATACAGTATTTGACAAGTAATAATAATTATCTTTTATACAGTGTATTTCCTGGCATATCCTCACAAAAGCGCTTTAGCGTAAAACAAGACAAATGCCAAAATAACATGGCAGGCTTATAGTAACTTAAGCAGAATTATAAAAGCTCATGTATAAAAGCAAGTTCAAAGACAGATGACAATGACATAGAGTGCAGCAGGAATTTGCCTCTTCATTGCACACAATCACATGTAAATTGAATATTGTACTGCACATTTGAAGAATTTTAAATGCCGTGACAAATGTCACATTGCAGGAGGATAAAACCGGTTTCTGAACCCACTGTTTTTCATAGCAGTGTTGAGAGACGGTACAGTGTGGTGGAGGCCAAAACTCAGCTGGAGAGATCAGATGGCGATGAGACAATTTTCTCCAGGTGATATTTCAAGCAAACCCTCAATATTAGCTTGTAATAATCTCATAATATATTGATGAAATCATTTAGTTCCACTGCCTAAGAAGGAACCTAAGTTATTGTCCTTGAAGGAATGAGCCTTCTCTCACACTGAGTCGTGCTGCTATAGAGGTCTTCTTCCTTCTGTCTAGGAGACGGTAACCAAGCCAAGGGCAGAAACGTTTTGAGAAATGAACAGAAAAACAGTGGAGAAAAGCAGGCCGTCTTGAGAGACACCAGAACTGTTACCAAACGAGTCAGAGGGGAGTCAGAATGGCCTCTTCTCCTTCTGAGCCTTTCTTGTGTTCTCTTGTGTTCTAATTTCTGGGACCTCTCCCAGTGTTGAAATTTCCACACTGGGAGAGGTCCCATAAGGAAATCCGGAATTCCAAGACATGAAGAGGAATCGGCACCAAGAGACTCAAGTCTTGGCGAAGAGTTTCTCGGGAATCACGGTGTTTGAAGTAGGAGTGTACTTCTGGTGTAGGTGTTGGGACTCTGTCGGTTTTGTGAAATGAATTGGAGGGATGGAGACACAGTTCTCCCAGTATGAAATCAGCTGGAGAGGCGAGTCGGTGACAGAAGTGAAATACCCCAGCCCTAGAACTTCACCAGCGTCAGTGATAATCGAGAGAGAGGCCACAGATCTGTCAGTATTAACTCCCAGTAGACATTTTATGGATTGGGAAAATGGCAGAATGTTTAAAACACTACAAAAGTGGAGTGATTAACTTATGATACCACAGGTGGAATGAATAAAAATGTGAACGTGCTTTCAAATGACTATATCATTTTAAAATTTACTTCTAAAATAACAGAGATGCATTGTCAGCCACGCTTTGTTATTTCAACAAAGACATTTAAAAATGGTTGATAGAATTAGCAGACGTGTAATTTGGTAAAGATGTTTTTCCATGCTTCTTGTTAAATAAGAGTAATTCTGTTGTGGAAACTATTTGAACATTTATTTTTTTTTTCCATTTCCCCTTAATACCTCCCATTACGTGTCATAGGACAAAAAAATATGAATATCCCCAAATCTGGAAAACACAGTAAATTTGACCAGCTTCCTGATCTACAAACAGCAAAAATTGAATTGCTGGAGCCTAAAAAATAAACATTGCTATGAATTAGAAATTCAGTCAATCAGAATTCCTTGTTAACCAAAGTATCGATACCAAAGAAAGCCCTTCAGAAAATAAATCTGATTAAAGCAGCATAATGTTCAGACGGAATTCTAATGAGATGTCCTGGTAATTGGGAAAACTAAGATAGATGATACTTTGAGTGAAAATTTCACTTACAAGGAGCGAAGCACGGAGAGGCTGAATGAGACATGAGACAAGAAGCATAAAGGTTACTACTGTTCTTGGGAAGAACAGCACAGAAAGTCACTATTTTGAAGAAAGAAAATGAGACGAGACTCCTCTTATGGTGCTGACTTCCTCATTAGAGTGCCTTTTTAATGGAAACAGAACTGGGAGACTGATGAGAAAGAGAGACACAGAGAAGCTCAGAAATTAGAATGATACCCTTTCTTTCCATCCTCCTTCCTCAGGTAGAGTAAAACTGCACAGTGGCACAAAAAGAGCCACAATTCCAGACACGAGCATCATTTTTCTTTTTGCACACTGACTCAAACAATGTGAACAATAACAGTGGTAGTATCCAATACCATCTGGATAAGACGAAAATGAAATCTACCTATGTATGAAAAATCCATGTATAGAGGTGCAATGCACTTGCAAATGCTAAAAACGAATAAATCTACCAGACAATATAAAACTGTCTAAAATATGAATGCCAGTGTAGACACCACATACTTTCTTAAGATTCTGTTCCAACAGATTAAAAAACACTATCCTTTTAGATAAGATGAACAGGAAATCTAAACTACATTAAGTCATCTTGAATTCGATACATCCTCTATCCAGCCAGGGATCTGAAAAGAAGAATAGAAAAAACTCATACTGATTCCACTAAAGGTCCCCAGCCATTTTTATTAGCTGTAATAGTCTTCAGCAGGGCCGGAAAGGGTTCGCTCATTCATGTGTCTGATAGATGAGTAACTCTGAGAGCATTGCTGGATCTTCTCCCAGTGCTGAAGGAGCACATTTTCGAAAAAGCTTTTAGTGCAGACGAGCATTTAATTGTGCAGCCAGAAATGCCTTTTGCTATGGCTAATCGTGTTTTCAGACGCGTCATATACAGTATGTCCATCCATTCATTTTCTCATTGCTTCACCCAGCACAGGCTGGTGGGCAAGCCCGAGCCTATCCCAGCAAGCCATTGGCACTGGGCAGGATACACCCTGGATGGGATGCCAGTCCCTTGCAGGTCAGGCAGACGCACTCGATTTTCCCAGAAGTCAATTAACCTGCAAGGATGTCTTTGGGCTGTGGGAGGACACAAGAGAACATGCAGACTCCACACAGACAGCACCCCAGGCAGCAATGGATGACCACTGTGCCTTCCATGTAATGAAAAAGAAATGAAAAACGAGTAAAGGAACATGGCCATCGATGTTGCTTGAATGGTCTATTAAATGTGAACATGTTAAATAAAACAACAGGTGAAAATCATCCCGATATTTAGTGAGGATATGGCTCAGGAATTGTTGCAGGAAGGTTACAGACTCAGATCTTGGGAGGAGGTGCTGTTGTTGTGCCTTTGAGCACAGTGTGGTATGTCAATCAAGCAAGGTGCACAGATAGATGCAATCGTAAGTGGCTTTGAGTGCCAGCATCAGACAAGTATATTAAGAACTTTAAAGTGATATCCTACAGTATGTGCAGTCATGTAGACATTTTTACAGAACGAAACTCAGATTGTTGTTGTACTACTCTTACACATCCACCAGACGGCGCATGTGAGAGAGGGACCCACGAAACGTCAGTAAAAATGTATTTTAAAGTGATATTATTTTTTAAAAACTATAATTGTTTGCGGTAGAATTCTGCTTACCATTACAAGTACGGGTAAATATATAGCCATCCTGTTCTGTTTTTTTTTTAATTCACACAATTAAAGTTACTCTGATGAGATACTATAGCTCTCTACAGAACAGAGAAAACAGACAAACCGAGATAAATGAACAGCTTGATAAACAAGGCTTCAAGTACAACATGTTGCAGCGACCATCTGTCCGCTTTGAACAATTCCCCAAGACATGTAACAACCCGGGTGAGGTCATTCTGACCCAGTTATCGGTAACGTAAATAAAGCCACTTACAATTAAGATTTTAGGATTGCAGGATGCGAGTTTCTGAATGTAAAGAGAAACATCATCGTCTTGAGCTTGCAGGGGTCGGCCAAATTCGGGCTGCTGAACTTTTCTGAGTAGCTCTCTGCTGTTTGAATCTCGAGGGTTACTTTCTGCATCAGATATTGAAAATAACTTCCGCCAGTGACCTATACTTGTTAAACTCTGCGGCCCTCTCTCAGCACTAACGGGCAATCGCAGAACAGCACCTCTTGCACGATGCATTTTACTTTTAGCCTATTAGACGTCGGCTTTAGCCCAGGTTACAGACACCAGTGCTACAGCTGATTCCTACCGCAAATTAATTTGGGT